AACCAGGTGGGTTTGAATCCTAGACCTTCTCCTGGTGACCTATGGAGCATTACCACTATGCTATAGACCCATAGGTCTCAGATTTCTTTTTTTACTAAATCCCTTTCTTTTAAATAAATATATTGTTTTTTTTTTTTTTTTTTTTTTTAATATCATAAAAGGGCATCAGATGCAAAACTTTATTAATATATATAACATATCCGGATTACATCAAATATCTTTACAAAATTGAGTTTATAAATTAACATTAACCTATCTACGATGCTAACTATTCCTATCCTAGTTACACTTAGTATATTTTGGATTAGTTTTAGTGCTGAATGGTTAATGCCCTTCCAGAGTTGAGATAAAGTCTTGTGATTTAATAGTGCTGCTGTTGTGATTTTCTTGTGGGTCTGTAGCTTCCATTATTAACTTTAATAAACTTTTATCATTTAGAGTGGCTTTTGATAAGTGGATGTTATTGGGGCTTTTGGCTGGAAAGAAGTGCCTTTTCCATTTGACTTTCTTTACTTCAGATATGTTAGTTATTGCTGATCTTGGAATCCATATTTGTGAATATAGTAGGGCTAGTATTTTGTTTTCCATCTTGGTATGACTGGCAACAGGTAGTTGTATGTCTATGTTTAACATTCCGCTTGCAAGTTTGTCTAGGTTGAATTTTTGGCCAAAGTCTAGTTTTTGTGTTCTTCTTTTGATTTCTGTTAAGAGCTTTTTATTGTTGTTTTTTCTAACAAGCTTTATTAGACTTGTTCTTATCTTGTTTTCCATTTTGTTATATGCTGCAATGTTTTTATAGCAATTAAAAATATGACTCTGGGTTTCTACTGCTATAAGGCACCTGGGGCAAAGATTATCAACGTAGGTGCTTGGGTATCGATCGTGTAGCAATTGCTTGAATGGCAATGTTCCACTCAGCAGCTTAAGTCTGAAGGCTAGTAAGGAGGAGGTATTTATTTTGTCCTTCTTGATTAGTAGCTTGTTTGCCTTGGCTAGAATTTGAAGTGTTGATACTTTCATGCTAACTTTCCACCTGTTTTTGATTGACGAGCTCTGAATAACATCAGTGAGCCTGTATGTTCGCTGAATTTTTTTGGTCCAGATGACTGGGCTGTAGCTCCAATTATTCTTGATTTTTGGGCTTGAGGTACAGCTTTTGGATTCCACTAGGTTATCAATTCCTATGAATATATTACTGTCTTTGTAGCCTGAGATGACTGGGCTTGACTCTAGTCTTAATTTGATGTTTTTGCTCACATGTGCTATTGATTTTTCTTTTTAAAAAACTATATGAAAATTTGACTCTTTGATTAGAATAGCTTGGAGTATATAGGTCTAGCTTTTTAGGGAGATTGACTGATATATATGTCTGATCATTGGCCGCCTCCACTAAACCGATTAACCCTAGGAGAATATTAATTGGCTGCGAATTTGTTGAGTATAGAGCTATGTTGGTGTTGTGTCCATATATCGTTAATAATTCATCTTTGCTCTCAATATCGAAGTGCAAAAATAGTCTGTTGAAGTTAATGACTTGTTTAAGATCCTCTATGGTATTGGTGTTGATTTGTATTAGTAGATCTCTATATTTGTGTAAGCTGCTTTCTACTCTCGGATTATTGTCCAGAATGGCAATGTGTTGAAGTTGAAGCCATATTTACTTTAGCGCGTTGGCTAGGCAATGTTTATTATTTGTCTTGTATGTCCAAAGAGACATTGCTTTAGTGGCTGGAATGACGATTTGGAAGCCGTTGTTATGACACTGGCACTTCTTAAGAGTTCTACTCATTGTTAATTTATAGTGAGTTCTCTTTATTTGAGAGTAAGTACAATTACGATTGACTCTTGTTTTAATGAAATTCAGTTTGTTATTGGTAATGAAAGCCCAGAATCTGGTTTTCGTGTTTAGTATACAGGTCGAAGTTCCTTTAAGAGTAGGTGTTGGATTAATTTTGGTGAACCAGGAAGGTATGGGACCTTTGGGTGTGGAGCGAAAGTGTGTGTTAAGTTAAACTCATGCCAGGATAGTCTTCTGTTTGATTGGAAAGTAAGTAGATCTTCTAAGAATTTGATATTTCCTCTGCTCAGTCCTAATGCCTGATGCTTTAGATATTTACTGTCAAATGAAAAGTGAAGGCCTAGTGATTGTTTCTCTTTGGGGTAATTGTATTGACAGGGAGTAGGGCAGATGTCAATTCTGTATACTTTTGAAGCTGTCACAGCTTGCGTAATTCATGTTTCTGGAAATTTCTCTGGGTGACAAATCAGGCAGAGCCAGATAGTGAGACTGGCTTGAAGAGAATTTATTTCCAGTGACATAGCTTCTTGGATCTTTGTGTTAGTAAGTTTGGTGATGAGAAGTTTTATTAGAGTAAGGTCTTGGTTATCTGCTAGGTTTATCAGGTTGAGTCTAGCTTGTGAGTAAGTGATTTTGTTAGATATCATTTTTCCTATTTTAAACTTTTCTTTGATCACATTATTAACTCTGGTCTGGAGCTTTTGTAACTGCGGTTTGGAGAGAGAGCTTGTTAAAAGGGAGTAATTAAGTTTGCTAGGAATGGTCCAGTCCAGCACTTGTTTCAATATTGGGCCGTTTCATTTCTATTTGTGGCAGGCTTTTATGATTTGCACTAGTCGAAATGGATTTATTCGGCATAATGCCACTCGTCAATCATTCGTCAAAAAAGTATATAATTCGGCTAAT